TCAGTAAAGCAAAATAGACTAATACTATTTGCTTGAAAAGAATGCAAGAGAAAAACTATTACTAGTAAAATTGCGCGATAAGTTCATGTATTTTTAATTACTCATTTCGCGACAGAATTATTATTGTCAATCACATAATTAGTAAAAAGGTTAAACTTCCCCTTAATGTACCGACAATTTAATGAGTGCTATTACTTTCTCTAGGTAACTTCAAATTACATTGTGGGGGTAACTTAGGTGAAATATATACTTGGGATACGTAATTTTTTTTCTTCCTGAATTATGCTATACGGTATTGTTTAGAGAAGACTGTAGCTGCTAATAATTGAGAGGAAATGATGACATTCCACCGGGTATGGCCATTTTCACATTTAATTTATCAAAATAACATTTGTGTCACCATTTTTTATAGGCCGAATGGTATCAACATAATGATCTCATAGACCAGTAGTCGCAATAATTACTCTAATTTTGGTGGCGAAATGTTAATATATATATATATATATATATATATATATATATATATGCAGGGTAGGGCACTACTCCTTAGAGCAAGAAAGGTAAAACCACCTTATCATCCACATCCTGAGGTAGATTTGAGAATATTAGTTGTGTGGGTTACCACAGTGGTTTTGGTCCTCTTCCTTACCTTGCTTGGCACTCAGGATCGAAATTTCAGGGTTTCTTTCCTCCTAATGTAACAATATATGTATATATTATTATGCTGCCCCAGTTTATACCAAATCACTTACTAAATATCATCAATCTTCATGTTTTTCTTAATCAAGGATAATCTACGGGAAAGGGGATTCGAACTTGGGTGCAAGGGAACATATATGCTCACTGCCTAAGCCAAATGACCTAACCAACATCCACAATCAAGAACAAGAGTGAAATTAGAAGAGGAAAAAAAAAAAAGATTTTGCAATTAAGGTGGAAACCCATGCTACATAAGCCTTCACTAGGGATGGTATATATATGAATGCATTTTGATAATTGAAAGACCAGGGCAAGATAGCTAGAAGTTGTCTAGAATTTGGATTCTAGGGTCTTGAAAATGAAGAAGGGTGCAGTGCAGTGAGAAAAGTTGCTGGTATGATATAATCTGGTATAAGCATCGTTATTCTGGGAACTTTGCTGGAGAAAGTGACAATTAGAATCAAATCTTGGAGACTGAAAAGTTCGTCTCCTTTGCAGACAGGTTTGCATAAAGTGAGCTCTCTCGACAACACATAGCTAGGTCTGTTGGTGTGACATCTTTATCTTCTTTTCAAAGTGGTATATATATAAACCATTAAATCCAAAAGTAGTCGCAGCAACGTGTGTTCATAATTTCAGCATCAAGACCAATTAAGCCAGTTACTTTCCACCATGATTATAGCCCATGACATGAGCTCTACCAAATAAATCATCTTGATACCAGCTTCACCTTTAGACTTTAGGACTTGTCTGCGCTTTTGACTTTATACCCTGATTTAAATATGTTGGGGCTTTTATTCCTCGAGATTTTTAACCCCCTGATTTCATGTGCTGGTGTTTCGATAAATTGGGAGACACATCTGTGGCTCTTTTTTTCTATAAGTTGGTCAAGGGAAACCTAACAAAAGAGGAAACTGTTTTTAGGAATCACATGGTCCTCCCTCAGATTAAGAGAGGAAATGAGCTGTTTCCTTAATTCAAAACTATACGGCACATGATTGTCTTAATTCAAAAATATAAGTTGGCACATGATTGTCTTTTTGAAGGAATCATAAGCCGCTAATGTTAATCGATCTGAAGAGACGTGTGACTTGTAGATAGTTCTATGTATTTGAAATTTACCTTAGGGAGTACCTCATACTTCCTGAGGAAACGGGTTGTCGGAGATTTCGTCATGCTTTAAGATAAAATTGATAGTTCTATGTGTTGAAGTCAATTTGACAAGGTGTTGAAAATTGAAGAGTTGCAAGGCTACGAGGGTTCTACTGCCAAAGTTGAATGGTGGAGGGAGATATTATACATATATAGTTGAAAAGTAGAAGTGTACTCAAGATCCAACCTTATCTGCCCAAAATCCAACCTTATTTGCCCAAATCGAATGATGCCGTCATCCACATGATTTGTTGAATGAATTTGATCTCTGAATTTTACAACCAACATGATTAAATTGGATAGCGAATTTGCTTGTGACAATTCAATCGAATTCAATTTATGGTGTGTTTATTAATCAGGAATTGGAATTCTCATCAAGAATTGAATTCCACTTATGAAAGATTTCTGCGTTTTCACATCAAGGAATTGAAAAGTAAGTGGGGCCCACACAAAATTAGGAATTGAATTTCTGAGTTTGGAGGAATTAAAATTCTTGGGTAGGAGGTGATATTCTAATACCTGGAGAACTAACTCATTAGGAATTCATCTTTTTTATCCTCACACAATTTTAAAATTTCCAAATTTGTCATCTACTTTAACTTAATAACGAGAACATTTTAGTAATTAGCACCACTCCTACCCCAATTCCATATGATTTAGTAAACAACTTCAATAAGAATCTGGAATTTAATTCTCCTCAATCTAACTCCTCTTCAATTCATCCTCAATTCAATTCTTCCTAATCCAATAACGGATTAGTAAACATGCCATTAGTTGCTTTTATGTTTTATTTTCATCATATAGGCATTTGAAATTGATGGACCAAAACACTTTTCTTTAGCACTTAATTTGTATTTTCCATTTAATCTATTAAAATGTATGATTGGATTAGGTTTTTGATGGGAATTACTTCATATTTGAATTGTTTTCCACTATTAAAATCAATAATCTAGTTTCATCCAATTTAATTCAATATCAATTCATTCAAATTGGATTGGGTTCTGTTCTAAACTCTGAGACCATGCTGGATTGGATTACAAAGTAATCTAATTTACTTCCGTTTTGTGAGTTGGATAATGTGGTTTTTGTTGCCAATAGTTAGGAAGGGAGAGGAGAGTGGGTGCAAACCCGCACACACTTTACAATGCTAACCTCGAACTTAGGACTAGTTGGGTGGAGACAGAACTCCTTACCACTACACTAGTGGCGCATCGACAGTTGGATAATGTAGTTGGATAGGATTTATAATCCTAATCAAATAGTTGGTTGCCTAAAAGCAACATGGATTAGATTATGTCTAATCCTACTAGGGCCAAATATAGTACGACTATGAATCCTACTAAAAGGTTGGGATTAAGTTGGATTAGATTATGTCTAGTCCTACTAAGCCATGTAATAGCACATTTCAATTAATCCAACCTCTGAATTATGTGTGGTATCAAACACATCATTGGATTAGTATTATCATTTTAATCCAATGTAATCCAATTCTACCTCATAATTCAATCCAATCTCAATCACCGAACATGACCATGAGAATTGAACTCTATAAGGTGTTCCACAGTAGCTCAGTGATAGAGCGGTCAGTTGTTAACTGACTGGTCATAGGTTCGAATCCTACTTGGGGAGATTTGATTCATTTCGAATTTAATTGGATTTGATTGGTTAAAGGTATTTTGTATAGGAAATAGCTTGGCTCTTTAAAACTGAGGAGGATTGACATTTGACAAATTCCTTTTTTTTCTTTTTCTTTTTCTTTTGAATTCATTTAATCTTTTTTTCTTTTGAACTTTAATAAGTGTCAAAATCTCATTTGTTATGAGGACGTGCTTCTCCTCAATTTTAAGGAGCCAAACCATGCTCGTTTGTGTGTATATTTTGGGTGTTTGCATATATGGGCTTTGATTTATTATTATTTTATGGGATTTTTGTAGAAATGTCAAATGAACTTATACCTTGATTTCAATTTGTCACCTTAAAGAAAAATTTAAGATAAATTTCACCTTCATTTTTCAAAATCCATGATTTGTCATATGACTTTAACAACATCCAATTTTCCATCAGTTTTAAGGGTATTTTAGTCTTTCCATTTTCATGGGTATTTTAAAAATGGAAAAATCATTATAAAAAATGTATATCTTTTAAACAATTAAAATTGAAAAAAATATCTCACCTTCCCTTATCCCCTGTGCGCCACTGGCAGCTCCAACCAACCCCGCTCACCTTGAAATCCATTCCCCCTTCCCACTTCATAGCCCATTTTGTCTTTATCTTCCTCATTCTCTCTCGACCATGGAACACCTACCCTACACACAAATTCCCTCAGTCCATGCAAACTGAGTCCACCTTTTTCTTCTTATTTTTCTTTTTGGTATTTTTCCATTTGCATATTGAAAATTTGTGGAAGGACAATTGCCAAACCAACAATTTAGTAGCCTACGTAACTTATGGTGACCAAGCAAACTTTAGTTCCTTCAACAGAAATACAGTGGCGTAAGTTAATAAAACTATGAAGACAAGAAAAGGATTGGATTGGCTTTTGGGTGGGAAGCTTAAGTAGTTTTAAATTACGTATTTGAAAATTTCAGACATGCTCAATGAACATCATAAAAAATGTATACATGCTGAGACAGAGAGACATAAGGGAGAGAAGAGGGGTGGGGGTGTCTTGTGGGATGTGCTTTGGGGGCAGATGGGGTTGCGGTGAGGGGAAAGGGAGAGAGAGGTCTCTTTTGTCTATCTTTTTTTTTTCTTGAAAATGGAAAGACTAAAATACCATTAAAATGAATGGAAAATTGGATGGTGTTTAAGTCAGATGACAAATCATGAATTTTAATAAATTAAGATGACATTTCTCTTAAAATTTTCTCTTAAGTTCAGGTGACATTTCTGCCGGGGTAAAAATCCTAAAGAAAGTGACTATATGAGCTTTGATTTGAATCCTAATTAGCAGCTGCAAAAAATTGAATCCAAAACTAGATCAAACAAGTTCAAACTCACAGATGTCAAAAGCTTAAACGAAAGCCCAAGTCAGATCCAAGAAATCCTATGTCTTTACTGAAGAAGCCCAAACCTTCTTCTGAGACATTGCGAACTTCACGTCGTACAAAACATGTTCCTCATAAACCTCCAAACATGATGTCGTTAGGGTTTAGGCAGTTAAACGACGTTGTTCTGTTCCCAATCCCAGAGCAAAGCAAACTATGAGCAAAATTTCCCCGCCCTAATACTTCCTTTCCCCAACTCCAAGTCTCCACTGATTTAAAATTCTTCAAATCATCAAACACTCTCTCATTTTCTCGGGAAATTCTGCAACCTTCTTGTAAGCTTTCTCTCCCGCCTTTCCAATGAACGAACACAGCGTTGATGAAACAAACAATGCACAAGAACAAAAGGAACATGAAGTAGAAGATCCGGAGCTGCGTAGGCTTCTTGTACCGAACCCAGAAGACCTTCCTCTCACTCCTCCCTCTTCCGTTGAAGCTAACTTCGTCTCTTATTTCGCTCCAGGTTCTTCCTCATGGATTTATTCAATTTTATAAATATGAAAACAGCACAATTGCTTTTCTAAACCCAAGCTCTCTGTTTGGTTTCCAGATTTTATGAAGCCAGGACACGACCAATACATTTATCGCCACGCCAATGGGTACAATATCCAGTCTTTCTCTTTGTGTTTAGTATGTGCATTCGTTAACTCTTTTTTTTATATATTTGTTCTGTGAAGTTTGATTGTTTTGAATTGTAATTTTGTATGCAAGGTTGTGTGTGATTGGATTGGCTCCAACCCATGTGGCATTTAAGGACGAAGGGGGAATCACTGCCATTGATTTCAATGTTGGGAAATCTGATCGCAGTGGGATTAAGGTTACTGGAAAGCGCAAGAAGGTATCTTTTATTTCTCTCTCTCTCAGATAATATATTGTAATTAAAAAGATAAAAATATCAGAATAATTTTATGTATTGTTCTTTTTTTCTTTTAGAATTCTGTACTTGGTCAGTAGATTCTGGAGTCTTGTTGTGGCGTAGTGCCAATTCTTATACTGTGGTTTTGTAATCTAGGAAAAATGTTATTATGCAGAATGCACAACACTTGGAGTCCAACTCAGCCTTGTGTAAAGTTTGCAGCAAGGATGCTACTTATATTGTGAGGTAGCAAATTTTTTTTTCAATGCTGCCTTCGTCTTCCCCAGTTTTCATTATTTTGCATGCAGCTCCTTTCCATATATGAGGTTTGAAGTTGTAGCTGCTTTTGGCAGGTGTTGTGTAAAAGGATCACTTTTGGAAGTGAATGATAGATTAATCAAGCAGCCAGAATTGCTTAATTCAGCAGTAAGAATCCTTAATACCCTTGCATTATCAGCTGTCTGATTTTCTGTGATATTAATCATCATTCTTTGAATCATTATGTTTAAATGAAATCAGCATAGGTAGGATTGAGCATGCTTCTTCTCGTGTATTTGATGTCAATAACTGCAGCATTTGGATTTCCATATCCCTGTATAGGAAATAACATCATTTAGTGTCCAGAACGAGGAGAAATACTACGAAGATACACATTCAGGGCAGATAATGGAGAGAGAGAGAGAGAGAGATTTGGGGGAGGGGGGTGGGTTAAGGGTCTCTTTGATAGCTACATTCAATGGACATTGGCACCAATGCCACTCCTTGGGACTTCATCATTTGTGTTTGAACATACTTCATGTAGCTTTTATATGATCTGAGTAGGGCCATATGTCGTGAAGGTATCTGAAGGTTTGAGATGGCCAATTGTATTGGGATGGCTTTTGAAAGCTATGATTTAATTGAGAGTGGAATTGGCAGTAGTGATGGTGTAGGATTAGAATTCCTAAGTACTTTGGACTTGTGGGATGGAAAGAAGCTTCTTCCCTTACACATGCTTGAGTTTTACATGCTTCTTCCCTCAAGGCTTCAGGGCCATCACATATATTAATTTGGGTCTTCTTCTTTATGCTTTTTGAAAGTGGTTTTAGTTCTTTACACTACTCCTTCCGTTTATAGCTTGGTTGCTCATTGTTCATAGTTATTCCTCCTCTTTCCAGGCAGATAGAGAAGGATATATTGCCATTATCATGCCAAAACCAGCAGATTGGCTCAAAATCAAAGATTCACTTTTGGGTCTTGAAGAGTACAAAAAACTGAGGGAAGTTTGATGTTGAGTTTGCAAATTGTGCTCTTTCATCACCGACCCTGGATGAAGAAGAGAAAACATTGCTGTCTCATCATGGTGCATATGAGATTGCTCATCATTTGTTCCTTGCCAGATTACTCGCGGGTGGGAAAGCTTCATGTGGTAATGCTTTTGAGAGTCACAAATCCTAGAAAATGGTACATTTTATTCCCCTGTTTCTGTATCATGTAAACCGATTTATTTAACTTATTCAGAAAATAAAATGGTTGAATAAAGAAAAATGCAGTACATTCTTTGCATTGTTCTGATAAAAATGTATTGAAATTTGATGGCCCTAGTGAGATAATTGGTTATTTTATTGCAACTTAGTTGCAAAACGAAGGGTCCACGTAGTAAAGGATAGTTCTATTTGTACTGCTCAAAACGCCTAACTAATTTCAAAACATTTATTTATTTTTCTTTATTTAAATTTCTAGAATACAAAATGGAAAAAGTGGCTGCCATGATAACAAGTCCTTTGAATTGAAATTCAGTCTAGCCATCCATAAAACAACATACTAAGAATAGAAAAGAAACCACACACTAGAGTAATCAAATTTCTACTTTGAATACTTGATGTAACCGACAGATGTATTCACTCCCTTTATAAGAGTCCCAAGCACTGGAGCCAACAAACACTTGGACCTATCTTCCCTGTAAAAGAACCCTAAACATTTGCAGTCCTTATCACACTTGGCCCTGCACTCTCCGACCTTCATCGGGCCATCTCCACCGTCCAAATAAGGACTCGAAAAGTGCTCAACGCTCCCAATCTTGTAGTAGTCCACTTTAGCTCCACTCTTACACGGCCCCAACTTTGGAGGTGCACATCCCTTGCTCCAACCCAGAAGGCCTTTCGGGGTAGGGCACCCCACGCACATGGCCGCACTACAATACCCATATGACCCACATTTTGATGGCAATCCACATTCTCTAACGAAATAGCTTGAAAAGAATGAGAAGCTCTCTTCCCATGTATTGGAACTCACTTTGTCATAGTAAGTATAGGCCTTGAGACTGCCATCGGACCCAAGCCTTAGCAATGAGTATGTAGCATTGTAGTTGAGTTTGTTAAGGTTGATTTGTTGTCCATTGCCAATGGGACGGACTTGTAGGAGGTGCCTATGGCTTTGTGGTGGAGGAGGCGGCGGAGCATGAACGTCTTGGTTTATAGTGAGCACTAGCTCATAATAAATGAAATCGTCGAAGCCAATCTCAGTGTCGAAATCAAAGGTCACAATACTTCCATAGTCGCTGCCTCGCCACCCCCCATACACAAGAAGTTTTCCACTGTTGTTCAAGTACATAGCGAAACCTTTGTGGTCAAGAACAAGGCTGTATGGCCCGTCAGAGCCATCGGCATCAGATTTTCGACTAACAAGCTTGTTACGGCCATTAGTTTTGACTGACTGCCCCAGCAGAAGAGTATCAGTAGGGTAATCAAAGCTCTGCCATATGAATCTTCCATTCTTGTCATGAAGAACCAAGTTACCGTTTCCCAGTAACTTGATGCCTGTGACACCTTTGTTGGCTGTGTTTGTTTGCCAAACAACAGTCCCATCTGCCTCTCCGAGGACCAAGTTTCCGTCTCTGCCGAAAGAGAGAGTGGCCTTCTCGTGCACTGGGTGGTTCCGGTTTGCGTCCCAGACCCACCGCATGAGGCCTAAGTCTCTCGGAACTCCGGATCTGATGGCGAATACGTAGGAATCTGGGGTGGTGTTGTAGAAGCATAGCCTGAAAGGGTATCTATAGAAGGTGTACGCATTGGTTTGGATCACACGGTAAGTAGAATGGTATTCAACGTTTCCGTCTTCAAATTCGCCTTGGTTGATGAACTTGAAGGTCTGGTTTGCTGGGACTTGGGATTGAATGGGAATGACAAAGAAGATGGCAAGGAGGGAGAAGAGTAGCAGGAGAAAAGGTGAATGTGGAATTATAGCTGCCATTTTGTGATACTTTCTGCTAGTTCTTGTGGGGGAATATATAAGAAAATAGTCGGAACGTTAGCAATAATGTTAAGAGTCACCAAATTTGCTCGGTAAAAATGATACAGCAGGTCGTAAAAATGTAGCAGTGTTTTGTTGAAAATTAATAAATGAGATTCATAGTGAACTAAAATCTGAATTACAAGTCAACAAAGGAGGATTGAGCGTGAGCTTGAGGAAACCAGACAACTATAATTTTGATGCAGGACCATCTTATCCATTGTTATATCCACTAGCAAGGAGTTGTATATTTTGTCTGCTGAGTCAAAGGAAACTAGTTGTATCCTAGCTGTACATTCTCAACTCCCTCAAACTACTTGTACATTCTCAAACTCACCATTTTCTGTGTGCATCTTTTTTAATGAAACACAAACATTCACAATAAATCTCAGCTTTATTAGGCAGATAATATACAATAATACACAAACATTGAAGATGGCAGAAAGCAGAGACATGTTATAAGTGATATGTCTACAACTTGGTTGGTAGGTAGACATGTCAGAGAATCCATTGAATGACAATGAGCATGTAGAAGAAAATGGTTCACTCAATGAGCAATAGAGTCATTGTTGCTAGCTGTCATGTTTGATGAGAGGTTTGGCCCAATATTGCATTAGGTAGCTGAGTCATTCATCCCCAAGTTGCTGCATATTAAAAGACATCAGTTGGGTTTATCCACAAAGGTTAATTACAATGTAGTCATGGCTAATTGCAATTTTTATGCTTAGATCAACTGCTTAACCATAGATTAATGTTAAGACACATTAGCTGCCCAAGGACTGATAAAATGACTACAAGTGCTAGTGGATTAGATTGACAAAAATGTTTCTGATTTCGTCGACCCTTTACAAGTGCTAGTGGATTAGATTGACAAAAATGTTTCTGATTTCGTCGACCCTTTACAAGTGCTAGTGGATTAGATTGACAAAAATGTTTCTGATTTCGTCGACCCTTTACAAGTGCTAGTGGATTCGAATGGTGTTTTTTATTACACAAGCGATATTAATAAGGGGGAAACGAACCAAGAATCTTGAATACATGGGTTAATGCTCTTAACCACTTCAACAACTGCATGCACTTTGCCTGTATTTGACTAACTTTCTGTCATTTAGGTGACTGCACGCATCAGAATGCTCTGCTTCAGAGTGCAAGATTCGTCAAAGTTGGCGTCTAGGCTAGTCTATCGCTTACAACGAAAAGATATTGAACATCCCTTTGTGATCAAAATCCAAATCTGATAAATCAAAAGAGAAGGAGTTCTGGTTCAATGACTATATTAGCCCTCATTGTTCAATATAAGTAAACGCTTGCCCAAGCTCTAAAACACAAATCACTCTACAAAAACGTCTTCCCCTGCATTAAGACAACCATGTCCCTGCCTTTCATATTCCTTGTTTCATTCTTTGCTTTCATTGCTCAAGCCCAAGTTCCAGCAAATGAAACTTTCAAATATGTCAATGAAGGAGAATTTGGGCAATACATTGTGGAATATGATGGAAACTATCGTCCGCTCGATACTTTTGCCTCCCCATTTCAACTTGCTTTCTACAACACCACCCCCAACGCCTACACTCTTGCTCTGCGCATGGGTTTGAGGCGTTCGGAATCACTCATCCGTTGGGTTTGGGAGGCCAACCGGGGGAACCCGGTTGGCGAAAACGCCACCTTCACATTCGGGACCGATGGAAACCTTGTCTTGGCCAATGCCGATGGTCGAGTGGCTTGGCAAACCAACACCCGCAACAAGGGTGTGGTAGGCTTCAAGTTGCTCTCAAACGGCAACATGGTGCTTTACAACTCAAAGGGTAACTTTGTTTGGCAAAGTTTTCACTACCCAACAGACACTTTGCTGGTAGGCCAATTTCTACGAGTTGGGGGCGTAACCAAGCTAGTGAGCCGGGCTTCAGAGACCGAAAACAAAGATGGATCTTATAGCTTCGTGATGGAGCCAAAACGTTTGGCTTTGTACTACAAGAGCAAGAACTCCCCAAAGCCAATAGTCTACTTCACATCTTCAAAATTGATAGATGTTGGCAACGGCTCTTTGGAACATGTGACATTGAATTGTTACACGGTAAATAGTGATGATTCTGCTTATGACTTAGCCTTGTTGTATGAACCGGGCAACTCTATCTCAGGTTTTAATCTCGTTCTAGCTACAACCAACTACAACAGCACATCATCATTCCTCAGGCTTGAAATTGATGGAAATTTGAAGGTTTACACTTACTTTAATAAGGTGAGATACGGTGCATGGGAGGTGCCCTTCACTCTTTTTGATAAAGATTCAATATTTGAAGTTGGGTGCCAATTGCCGGAGCGATGCGGGAGCTTTGGCCTTTGCGAGGACAACCAATGCGTCGGTTGCCCTACGCCTAAGGGAGTAGTGGCGTGGAGTGAGAGTTGTGAGGCTGAGAAGCTAACTTCTTGCGGGGCAAAGAGCTTCCGCTACTACAAAGTTGAAGGGGTTGATCACTTCTCGAGCAAGTACAATGAGGGATATGCTATCAAGGAGAGTGATTGTGGTAAGAAGTGTACTTTGGATTGCAAGTGTTTGGGATACTTCTACAACCGAGATACGTCAAGGTGTTGGATAGCTTATGATTTGAAAACCTTGACCAAAGTAGCCAATTCAAGTCATGTGGGTTACATCAAGGCTCCTAATCATTAATTTATAAGAGCCGGATTCCTTTTCTTTTTTTTCTTTTTTTTTTCGATAATATCTGGAATATAATTTCTGTTCTTAGATGTTGCTCTGTTTCTTTCTTTGGCTGAACTTTTAATAAAACTATGGTGATGAACTGTTGTTCATAACTTAATTTTGTTTTGTTTTCATGATTAAATCATATGATGATCTACTATTTCTGGATCTTCGTCCATCTTAAAAGGAATTGAAGATTGCATTGTCTAGAAACAATGTCCCAGAGTAGCAAATAGCAAATTTTATTGCTATAGTACAAGTCAAGAAACAATGTCCTTTTAATTCAGTGAACTCGATCGACAACTTGAAGATGTTGAAGCATCTTTCCAGAACAATACTTTATGCCTTATATTATTATTGTATTTTCAATTTTTTTTTTGCGAAGAGTACATTGGTTGAAGTAAATCGAGGTTTGACTCCAAAACCAATTATTGCGGACAACTTTATGATGTAGGACCATCTATTAATTATCTAAAAGTGTCTCGCTCACTTTTTAGATTTTCTGTGGATAATTTCTGTTTTTTTTAATTTTTTTTAATTTTT